GCACGCACGACTATGAGTACACCCCCCCCCCGCCCCCCCATAAACAGATTTTCATCGTTTGTCATGCATTTCTGCAGGGCGCCGGGTTACAGCTGTGAAACGAGGTTGGCATGCTTCGCCGCAAGGATGGAGACGGAGCGTCACCACGAAAGAAAAGTCGTGCAAGATGACTGTACCACCCTTCACGCGAGATACTGATCATGCCACCTTTGCCTTCCACGAACGAACGCGTCCATCTAAGCTTCGACGGCACTACCTTGCCATCACGGTCCTCCCGAGATCAACACAGCGCAGACCCACCGCTTCATATTATTCGGTGGTTGTGGCACCATCCACATAGCCTGAATGCGTTCTGATGTTGATGCCACACCATACATGGTGACCTTTTGACTCTGGCAGCGTGAACTGACCTGCATGTACCAGTTGCGTTCTCTCAGCGGGTTGTCACCGGCGCTGTTGAGACCCATCCTGTCGATCACGATGCCGGGACCGACTGCACCGGGGACGTCCTAGCAACGTTTGGGGGCGACGCAGGTTGCGGAAAGGGGACTACACGTCATGCTCACCCTGCCAACAGCAAAAGGTACACCAGGAGCGCAGACTACACCGGCAGTGCTTCGCAACACCCGATGGGGACGGGATATACACGCCGGTGAGGACGACGAGGAGGTCGTCCGTCTTGAACGACGCACGGAATCTCTGCTTCGCCACCATACCATGACGGAACCGACCAAAAGGCAGTAGATTTAACTCCATACTTTGAAAAAAAATCAAAAACGGGCCTACAGCAGTAGTAGTGGTACTACAGCAGTAGTAGTGGTACTACAGCAAGCAGCAGACCCACCTGTTTGTTGAGCATGATGAGGACAGTCTGACAGTCCTCCATGTTGGGGTCCCGAAGCACGTGAAACATCTCGTCCCTCGCCTCCTCTATGCGAGCCTCGTCGGAAGAGTCCACCATGAAGATCAGCGCGTCGGCGTCGACGAAGTAGTACCGCCAAAGCGACCGCAGCTTGGCTTGCCCACCGACGTCCCTGCCGCGGGCGTACAAGTAGAGGCCAAAGCACGGAGCAGCACGTGCACGTATACATATTATGCCGAAGAACGTTGCGAGGATCTAATATCTTTGGCTGGCTGTCGTGAGTCACGCTCTCTCTCGGTTGCTGGAGGAAAAAAAAAAAAAAAAAATTGTGTGATCACTGAAGCCAACCAACAGCCCCTCATCCGGGAGGGAGTCCTGGTGTATATGGACGAATTGGCACTCCTGGCAACTCCAAAGGGAGGAGACGAGAGCGGACGGAGTTGTCGGTGAACAACGAACATTCCTTCGTGGGGACGATCGGCGACGCTGGGGGAGTGAACCCCAGTTTTTTTGAAATGGAGGGTGAGGCGGGAGCTAAAGCGTCACCGTGGTTGACCGTTGGTTTCCCGATGGACCTTAGGTTATCGTATCGTGGTGAGGTACACGAGAGCACACGTTTCGCCAGGATGACCACTAAGGCGAGACACTGCAAACGAGGTTTGTCTACTGGAGGTCTTCGTGAGTACAGAAAATAGATACACTGTATGCTGCTTTCCGTAGAACCACCACCCCACGAAGTCATGACTATTTCGTCTGGATGACCACCAAGGACAGAGACTGCAAAGCAGGCAGGCACGGATTGAATACTTTATCCCATACGTTTGCTTAATCAATTTGCTGCGTAGACTGCTGGCAAAACAGGTAATAGACCCTCCTTATTCATACATGCTTCCTTCCACGTCAAGGGACCACTCACCAGATAGTCATGACCATGTTGTTGTACTCGACCTGTTCCATGTTGAATCCAACGGTAGGAACGGTGCCCACGGCCTCGTTCAGGTGGAGATTGTACTGTCGTCGGAGAGGTCGCGTGCCACCACCAAGAGACAAAGAGTTTCAGCAACGATATGCCAATGTGTTGCAAGTCAAGGGGCTTGAAAGCGGGTTGTGGACGGTGCGTTATCAACTGCTCTCGTCGGTGGTGGTAATCCCCGCAATGTTGTTGTCCGGGCTGGGCCGCGACCGCTGCGGCTGAATGAAACGGTTTGGATATGAGGTTAGGGGTAGAGGGTAAGGGGTAGGAGGCGCAGCAGTCAAAACCTCGCTCAGCAGAGGACGCAAGTCAATCGGCACGACAAGCACAAGGTGGGATACCGCACCGTAATCTCTAAACTCAACCATGAAAAAAAAAGACTCAGGAGTTCAACCCAACATTTACCGTATGAATGCGGGTCTTGGCACACTATGCGATCGTCTCTTTAATTGTTTGCACCATCGGTTTTTCTATCGCACAGGAGTGCCAAGACGCCGATACGTGCCATGTACCCGATACCTGTGCGGGACATGAAGTTAATGTTTGGTCCTGAAAATGTAACGCACACCCCCGTGTGATGACTCCGATCCGTGCAATTCTGAATTTATACCAAGCGACGAGTAGGGTCTTTTGAACGCGCCCTCCGTGCCAAAACTCCTATGTGTGCGATCCTGAACAAATCACAGCAGGCATACACCAGTACTTCGTGCGCGTGTGCAGGTATTGCAGCATCAGGACCACAACATAACGAACACAGACACAACACACAGACGTGCAAAAGATAGCAGGCGAGGAAACGTCAAAGCAGAGGGCATTGATCCGCTTGGAGGAAGCGAAAGGCATTGAAGTGTTGTCGTGGTTGACAACGCAAGGGTTGTCAGCAGATGAAAGAACGCTGCCTGATCTATATCGGGAGTCAATCGGTCGAGTACTGGGGAGTCACGATCGAACAGACTGCGACACAGGCAAACTTTGTGGTGCAGGTGTATTGTTACCATGCAAGGATCGCTTGAGCCGAGCCCACTTCCTCATCTGCACCAAGACCGGCGCCTCAACCTTCCTCCATAACAGGATGGTTCAGGTAATCCTCAAGACACTGCGCGAGTGCCGTATGCCCATCGCCGTTGAGGATTCTTCCCCTTTTACCACAGGCACTGGTAGGGGAAAGGGGCTATACAAGATGGAATTGGTAATCCCCCCAGGATTACACGCAGGAGAGGAGGAAGAGGAACTCTGCACCAAGTCCATTCTTTTAGACGTCACAATCGCCAACCCATCCGCAGGTCGAAGCATCGACAAGTCGATCCAAAAGCCAGGATCCGCCCTCGAAGATCGAGCCGCAAGTAAGGCAAGTCACTATGCGGGAACTTTCAACCCGTCTAGATCTACCCTCCTTGCTGCTGCTTTTTCTGCGTATGGTGGTCTTGGTAAAGGCACCCATCGACTCATCGTAGCTATCGCCAACCACTTGGCGCACTGACGACGAAGGAGCCTTAGCTGAAAGCTTTTTACACTAATAGGATTCGACGAAGGTTTACCTTCGAGCTAGCTCGTTTTCTGTCGATGCGAACGCGCGATGTGTTCAAACGTCATGGGCTACTAATCGACCAACTCCCACCAGGGCCAATCGGTTGAGATTTCTGCGACAACAATTCGTAATGAGGGTAAATGTCTTAGGAGTGACGGAGACGAAGGAAATGGAAAGGGAAGAGGGGAGGACGAAGACGACAATGGAGGAGTGGAAGAGAGCAAGGGTTTGAGCCAGATGACCTTCCCCAAAACAACTAACGCAGGGCTCGGGTTGAATTGGCAAGACATTGTTGTCAAAATGAGGATCAGAATGATGGTAGCGACAACAAAGGGGATAATGGTGAAAGTACTCCTAAAAGAACTCGAGGACAAGGTAATAGCCTTGGTAGACGCGTGCAGTTTTCTTCTGTTGCCACCGTTTCTGTCTTTGATCCGAAGGATAGTTTAGCCTCCCCCATGCTGCCCCCTCACGGGGTCCCAGTTCATGGTAGATAGAAGTGTTTTGTNGACACAACACACCAGCACCCCAGAACACCCAAAATACATGCGGCGAAACAGCATGCGGCGAAACAAAAATCCGAGGAGGCAAGGCGGCGAATTACCTTGAAACTTCGCAACACATAGGTCTGTGCTCACGCACACACCACACACAGGCAACACGTTGGCTGCGATGTCAGAGGGTGCAAGCGCTGAGTCTGTATTTTTCGTAGTATCGTAGTTTGGTTGTGGTCGTTTGGTCTCGTGTGGTTTGTACGCGTTCTTGGTTGATTGAGTAGAAACCGGTTGCCGATTCCGATGACAATGTTGAACAACATCACTTGCACATGAGCAACGTTACGATGCCGAAGTGCAGCAGTGGAGCCCCTGATACAAGCTATGCACCTTGGTACAGTAGTGTCCCGCGAAAAAGCTGGATACCATGGGATGACCCAACCTCGCCGAAGGTATCAGGGTCTCCGCACACCCCTGTGCGAAGTGAACGATACCTGTGCGATAAACAACTAAATCCCCTGGAACCCATCTTTTTCTGCACCCCCTGCGCCAAGACCCCGGCCTGTGCGATGTAGCCGATCCGTGCCAAGACCCGCATCCTTACGGTACTGCTGTTCAAAGAGAAAAGTCTCCCGCAAAGCTCTCATCGAATGGGGGGAACACAATAAAGCAGTGTCCATGTTTTAGTAGAAAAACCAAACGTGTCCGCGGAAAGCGGTCTAAAGCAAGGGATCAGGCTGATTAATATGTTTCGACGTGTTGCAATTGCGCTCAGCAGCAGTGCAGATGCACACCAAAGGAATATCCGAAAACAGGGGTCGCCCACCAAACGTGTACGAACTTCACGAGGCTATCGAGTTTGATTTCGACAAGAGTGTGTGAAGCTAGTGAATATTCGTGCGTCTTGTGGGTTGAACTATTCCACCCACTTCCCAACCCGTGGTATCCATGACATCCAACCCAACGTCCCTCTAAAGCACTCGTGTGTATCGAAGCACACAATTGTCGTTGCTGCTTGAAGTTATCAATTGGACTACCGCCCATCGCCCACAAGCTGAAACGACGTCGATGATGGGATGGGATATCTCACCAACAGCGAAGTTTTGCCGGCATTGTCCAGCCCGAGCAGCAGGAGGCGCTTTTCCTGACAGGAACGGAAACGTGTCACGATAGAGGAGCAGCAGCAAAGAAAAGGTTCGGGGCTTGGGAAGGTTTCGTGGTGGCAGGCAGGCAAGCGTAGAAGCTTCGCGGTGCGGACCGGTGAATTGGTTTCTCCACCGCCTTCCTGTGCGCCGTAATGCCCACAACAAAAAAAAAACAAGCTGAAGAAGCAACATGCACCTACTACCCTAATCGACTGACAACTTGCTCCGTATTGGGTATGCATACACCGTCGTTGCAGTCATGACCGACCGCGAGTTCTGTGAGTGACGGAGCGTGGACAAAACTTCGTCGCTCGCGCGCCACCTTCCAGCGAATGACATGTAGTGTGGCTACTCGAGGCAAGCTTGCTGCCCGAAGCGCCGGCTCCGAACTGCCACAGGGAATGAGCGAAGCTGAGACGAGTGTTTCCGTATATTTTGGAAAATCCGCGGAGCGGAGCGGGCTCACACGCACATATGCTCAACAAAAGATTTCTGTACAGCCCTCCCAAGCGCTTGTCCTGTCTTACCTTTTGGGCGTTGTATCAACTCTTGGGTTTGCACAGCTGTATCTGGAAACGGGTGAGGTGTGCGCTTTCTGTTTCGCTCTGAGAGTTTTCTTGCTTTCGGCGGGCTGGTCTTTCTCGTTCCTTCTTTTTTTATCAAACTTTGGTGTGGCTGCGTTGCGGTGCACCACGAAAGGCGTGTCCTGTACCCGCGAGCAGCCCCATAGGCTGCTGGGACTCAGTCTCTCCTTCTCTGACAACTCTGCAAGCGAGGGTCACGGAGGTTCGCATTTGCTACCTAGCAAGCCGCAACCCTGGTGCATTTCTTCTCCGACTCCGCTACGGAAATTCAGTTCAATCATTCCGTTCCGTGATGCTAGCTTTTTCAAGGCATCCCGCTGCGGCATGTCTGACGGGTGCGATGCCCAAATACGTTCAATATATGCTACGTAGGGCGGTGTTGGATACACGCACCCCGGTGGCATGACCCCCAATAGGTGCGATGCCGAGACCGTTCACAAAGGAATGTTATTGCCCCCCGAGGACACCCTCGCCGCATGTGAAGGGCACCGACATGTACCTCACGACAAGCAGCTCAAAAAGTGGCCCAGGCCCCTTTAGCACGCCCCGTTGCACTCAACAATTGGATTTGGGGGCGGTGGAATCGCAACGGCGTGCGGAAACACCGCAAATTATCAAAAATTATCATGCGCACCCCGAAGCCATCCATTTATGTGAAACCGGTGCTATCTGTCTGTCCGACCGCTGTCATCTCTCCGACGGGTCCCACCTCTCCGATCGACCGGTCCCATCTCTCCGACCGGTCCCATCCCTCGCACTTGTAATATTCTGTAGTTAGCGGGCAACTGCTGGTTGGTTTGGTGCTCAACAAGAAAAGCGTCGTTTGCCATGGACCATCGTCAGAGAGCAGAGGATTACGTGTGTGTATCTACGTGTGTGTGTGTGTGAACAAACTTTCTGTACAATACTTGTTTGCGCATGTGTGGAGAATCAAGTCTTGTACGATACACGATGCATGAGAGGGCGGGTTGAAAAAGTACGGCTAGGACCCACCGCCAGCCGAGGAGTGCGAGAAAAACCTGTGTGAGCGGCGTGGAACGTTTGGCATCGCCCCATAGTTGTTCATTCTCCCCACTCACCAAACGTTGATGACGCCCTGCAACGTCATAATAACATAATAACCGGCGCAAACGCACGAGGTACTCGCTCCCGGCCGCAAAATTGGGCGTACTTCAATCGTCGATTGCTTTCTCAATGTGTGGAACACTTCACACGTCGTTTGTCCAACGGTTGGCGGGGAAAATCATTGAACTTTTTGGACGTTACTTGGACTTGTTGAACGTTATTGCAAGTGACGGTCGAGAGAGTACCAAACGTAAAGATCCAAACACAACAAGGTACGCCAAACAAAACGGTTTTGAAGACACACGCCCGTGTAAACACCCACTATAATACAAATGCAGACTACTGCTGTTACAGCGGTAAATACACGGGGCGGGTTGAAAAAGTACGGCTAGGACCCACCGCCGGCCGAGAGTGCGAGTAAAACCTGTGTACGCGGCATGAGCGTTCGGCATCGCCCTATAGTAGTTGTTCATCCTCCCCACTCACCAAACGTTGATAACGAGCTGCAACGTCATATTAACGTGATAACCGGCGCAAACGCACAAGGTACTCGCTCCCGGCCGCAAAATTGGGCGTACTTCAATCGTCGATCTCTTAGTTAAATGTATTATTGTGTGGCTACCACACACACGCCGGTTGTCCAACTGCTGAAGACTTGCACTTTTTGGACATTATTGCAAGTGACGGTTGAGAGAGTACCAAACGTAAAGATCCAAAAGAACAATTTCTATAGATAGAGATGGATTTGTGTGTGATATTAAGAAAATGAAAACAGAACAAGGTGCGCCAAACAAGCGCTTCTTTTAAGACACACACACGCCCGTCCGTGTAAACACCCACTATTTTACATATGCAGACGACTGTTGTTACAGCGGTAAAATACACGGGGCGGGTTGAAGAAGTACGGCTAGGACCCACAGCCGGCCGAGAGTGGGAGTAAAACCTGTGTGCGCGGCATGAGCGTTTGGCATTGCCCCATAGTTGTTCATTCTCCCCACCCACCAAACGTTGATAACGAGCTGCAACGTCATATTAACGTGATAACCGACGCAAGCGCACAAGGTACTCGCTCCCGGCCGCAAAATTGGGCGTACTTCAATCGTCGATTTCTTAATTAATTTTTTAATGTGCGGCTATCATACACACGTCGGCTGTCCAACGGCTGAAGGACTGCACTTTTTGGTCGTTATGGCAAGTGACGGTTGAGAGAGTACCAAACGTAAAGATCCAAAGAACAAGGTACGCTAAGCAAAAGTTTCATTTAAAGATACAGACACGCCCGTCCGCGTGAACACCCACTATTATACACATGCAGACTACTGCTGGTACAACAACTGTCAGTAGATACCACGGCAATTGTATGTCGACGAGGTTGCGAGGTTCGCGTTTCTTGGCGGTCGGGTGAAAACTGCTCGACAAAGTTCCGCCAATTTGCCGGCGGGTGGTCATCATCATCTGATGCTTCGTGTAGACTAGTTAGTTGCCGTTGCCGTTGCCGTCTACTGCTGCGCCTCGTTCTACCCCAACAACTTGATCTCGCTGCAACGCTCGGTTTTGCCATAAGAACACGAGGAGCGAGGGTTGCGAGGGTTACCCAAGCACCTAGGGTAAGACACATGCATGAACCGTGAAGCGCGACTTTAAAGGTTCAGCACGGCCATGACGTCTCCCCAGCCGTGGTGTCTGTATGTATTGTGCATGCACGCAAACTGTCGCTTCCTGGAGCCGCAGGTACGCATCTCGCTCGGTAGAGAGAAGCTGGAACTACGCACTGCATACAGACCTTGCGATCTCAGGCGTTAGGAGGGATACAGCAGTGCAGGAGTCTCAGGCGAAGGGGAAACAAACAGCAGGTTCTATTGATGGGGGTTTACATGCACATCATCAACCAAAGGCGAGAGAATTCCCCGTGGTCCCCCGCACTTTGCCAAGGAGCTTCAGACAAGCCAACCTAATAATTCGCCACTGACATGAGACAGGCACCTCAGCATGAAGGGACAAACTGCACTACAGCAGCAGTGGGCGATGGACACACAAGATATGGAGGAGAGAGAAAGGCACGCACTGTCGTCTCCTCGTTCGCGCGCTTCGCACCACGCACCTTGAGGGTGGCGAGGATGTGAACGAGACGAGAGACCACATGCCCCATTGGTGCTGCTTGCTTGATTCCAGCGTCGTCGTTAGCTTCTGGTCGTTGCTGCTTCAGGAAGTGCTGGCGCTTGTGCTGCTGGGGAGGACCCTGGGGGTTGGGGGTTGGGTTGTTGGCAGTATTGCCGTTTGGGTCTCGTCGAGTTTGGAGATAAGGGACGTGCGCGTGTGTCGTGTGGTTACCATCATGATCATGTGTGCCGTTCACGATTGACTGCATCTAAGAATATGTCATCTACGAAAAAGCGGCACAATCGTTCGTTGATGTTGGCCAATCCTATCACGCCAGTTCAATTCTGGCCGACCAGTAATATCGCTACACCGCACATTTGCACATGCGCTGGATGCGCGCCCGCCCCGCGCGCTGTGAGAACATGCAGCTCCGTCCGTGCTCCGCCCACCACAGCACTGTGGCAGACGCCACCACCCCACGGCTACCACATACCAACACCCTGAAGAGAGAAAGAACCGTACGCGCGCGGACAAACATGGATTTCATCTCCAACACCGCCAAGCGCTCCGGCCAAATGGTGCACAAAATACGCCAACACCTCCTCACACAGCTCGACACGATCCCCATCAATATCCCCACGTCCACCAGCGCCGCTCCATCTGTACCCGGCGGTCAGCACGACCTGGAGCAGCAGCAGCAACAGCAGCAGCAACAACAACGACAACAGCAGCTGAAGCAACGGCAACCTCTGTGGTCGCCCTTCCCGCTTGGCCTAATTCCGGAGGATGTCCGGCTGACCGTGTTATCGTTTTTACCCGCTGGGGAGCTGTCCAGCATTCGGAGAGCGAGCCGAGACTTCCTCCACACGGCCGATCGTCACGCAGATGTCCTGTGGGGTAGGCTCAACCGCTGCGATTTTCCTTCCGTCGCGGCACCAACAGACCCAGCAGCCCAAGAAACGAACTGTCTCTCGCCACATCAGGTGAGAATAGAGAGGCAGTGGCTGATGGTATTGGATCACACAGTAGTCTACACACACCTTCTCCCTATGTGGCAATCCAATCTGCCTTTAGGGCTAGCCTTTGCTCTCTCGTAGAACCGCCCTCTGGCAAAGAGGGACCTGGCGACCCAGGAGGCTTCTTGTCCATCGTCGATTACACAGTCTAAGCCCCCGACTTCATGACACAGCAGTAGATCAGGTCATGACCTCACAAGAGGTATCGGATCGTAGGCACAATTGCAGTGATTTGGCCTTGACATTTCCTTCGTTTATCCATGTTGTCACTGGTATCTTTAAGGTCCGCCTTTGCTGTCTGACCGAGATTATTGAGACGGTGGTGTACATGCATGTAACGTACGAGGCATCACTTCCCGCCGTAGGAAAAATAGTAATTGAAGCCTAAGAGGTGCGCGCTGAAGAGGGGAAGGAAATTAACATGACGATGGACCACCCCCTTGAGACTGGAATAGGAAGGTCTGAGCTATTCATTGCTGAAGACGGGAACATGATTGTCGCGACCTTAAACGTGGATATTGTTCAAGTTACAACTCTGCCATTGATGTTTTTGGAACAAGGACTCCACTACTGACACGAAGAGATGCATCGCCGAGCACCCTACCTTCATGTCAATGGAGGCCTATCGAGTTGAAATATGTGCGAGTGTCTCAGCATTTTTCTTGAACTGTAGATGTGTCGCACACGCCTCTCGCTGTCGTTAGCTACATTGGCGTCTTGATTGCGTTCTGGAATCCGGTGGATCTCCTCGATGAACGGATACATCGCGAGTTCACAATCGTCGTCGATTTCCTTTCATCAAGGCATTGCTGTTGTACGACGAAAAATTGTCTTAGCTAACCATATCAACGGTGAATTGTTGCGAACAGTACCCGCCCCCTTGGTGGCCATGCACTTGAAACCCTTCCTCCGGTTGTACCATCGTTCATCGTCTCGCGGCTGTGAATTGGCTTCTGATTACTACACCTCCCTCTCTTCCTCCCCCCCCCCCCCCCC